TAATTTCAATTCCCGCCTTTGAACCCAACGTCTCTTCAATTCTCTCTGTTTCGGTTTCAATTTTCTCTTCTCTCGAAAGATTAAATGGGGGATGCTGATGTGTTGAGGGCCAAGAAAAAAGCATTCTTGAGGAGGAAAGAATGCATAAAGAGGAAGACTATGGAATTGTCTACTTTGTGTGATGTGAAAGCCTGCGCAGTGATTTTAGGCCCCGACGGGCAGATTGATTCTTGGCCGGAGAATCGCAGTGAAGTGCGGGAGGTGATCAATTTGTACCAAAACGGGTCTCGTAATAAAAAGCGGAAGCAAAAATATGACGATAGGGGTTGTAACAAGAAGCAGGTTTTGGGTTGTGATGAAGGGGCTTTGAATCCGGAAGAATTTCTGAAAAAGATTAATGCCAAATTGGATGAAGTCAAGAAACGGATTCAATTTCTCAAGTCCAAAGATCAAGAATTCGAGCCAGGTATTTTCACCAGCCCTTTTTAGTTTTTACTGATGTTTCTCTGTTCTTTCTGGAATTCATATACTTGTTCTAGTTGTGGGTAGTTGTGGCTTGTTGCTTGAATTGATTTTCACTTTAGATGGTTTGTTGCCCAGAATGTGACGTTCAGCACTAGTACTCTTATAAGTAAATAAGCAATCTTAATTTCCCAGCATAAACTTACAATTTGTAGTAATATTGATATAAAAAAAAAAAAATTACACAAAACACAGAGAATCGGAGGTTTAAATCTTATGCGATCAGGTTTATGTAATAATTATTAGACTTGATAATTGTTAGTTTATAGCATTAGAAGTCAGACAGTTAAATGGCATAAAAATTAATGCCAAAGAAATAAAGATGTTAAGATGGACGTCCAGTATAAAGTGGCACTATTTGAGGATAAATTAAATGAAGGATGGGATGTTAAGATTTAGTGCCAAAGAAATAAAGATGTTAAGATTTAGAGAAACTTTAAATTTAGTGCATGTTTGGGAAAGCATATAATTGCCTATTGAAGGGTCAAACTTTATTTTTATTTATACATTTCATAGGACACTACAAGTTTTGCCAAAGATGATCTTAGTCTTTTTTATACAATAACATCACTTCTCCTATGTTGTCACAAAATCTAGGCTTCTTCCATCTGGTCTTGTAATAAAGGCACTTCATGCCCTGATGATTCTACATTGTTAGTTTCATTTTTCCTTTAGTCTTTTCTTCTTCTGCTCTTCCCCAAATCACGGCATAGGACCCGACGACTAATACAAGTGCACCAGCAATACTGCCAGAAGTTTCAAAAACAATTGTCAAACTCAGAATAAGAAACTCAAAAAAAATAACCAGAAAGGTATTGCTGATGTGAATTTAAGTCGCAGTTTATACCTTCCAAAATAAAGAACTTCTCCCTGAAAGATGACACCAATG